CATTTGCCCCATTCCTTTCGTATCTTATGTTATGTAAATGATCTTTGAAAAATCTCTTTCGAGTCTTCTGATTGCTTCCGTATTCTTCGTCAAAACACGCCCATGAAAGAAACCAAATCAACGCTATGCTATTGAGTTATGCAAATACTATATGTGCACCTATGACTCATGCTAGTCAATATGTCTTTACATGCACAATCATTTATTTTATTTTCAAACTTCATTGAAGTAGTGTCAATCAAAAGAAAAAAATAAGAAGAAAATGAAACAGTAGACGCCATGTGCCATTGTAAACAACGTTTGAGAAATTATTTGTTCGATATGCACTATGCCTTGTTAGAGTGTCTTGTACAGACTTGAGCTGCTGAGATGTGAACTGTTGACGATTAACACCAAATAAGTTGCTACGCGATCAAAATATGTTTTTATTGATTCGTATTGTTTGATCCAAGTAGACATTCCCTATCTGTTCAGTATGATAGAAGCCTACAATGATTCAACGTGATATAGCATGCAGTTTTGTACCAATCGTTCAAGGACCACAATTTGAGTGACTTCATTTCTATATGCTATCATAAAATTTGACTACTCCGTAAGTCTGGTGTTAAAAGAAGTATATGTTATGACGCACAATCGAGAGCTTCATCATTGTTCGACTGGATTATATCATCGATGAAACTAACGAGACATCAAGATGGAACGATGATTTACGCGCAAAAGTAAAACATCTTCAGATATGAAGGTATCCATATAAGATGTCTCCACAAAGAAGAATATAAAGCTCAGCGAAAAACTCATCAAAACAAAAAGAATACAATAATGACTAATATCATAAATATCAGAAAATATAGAAAAATTATGAACTATTTTGTTAATGATATATTCATCATAGTAAATAAATAAATATCAAGAAGATATGAATTTCTGGAGTTCATCATCATCATTATCTTGACCCATACTGATTACTATAATAAATTAATAGAACAGCGAAAAAGTAGTTGATAGCAAAATGACATAAAGAAAAAGAAAATAATATACAAAACAAAAAAAAAAAGGAATCGTTTATTCTATTGCATTAACCTAATTAAGAAAATGTTACTCAGTTCTTCAGTACTAAGGCTAGTGTCAATGTCAAAACAAAAGTAACGTAATTGTTCCTTTTGAATAACTCTCCAGCAGAAATACCTATCAATTTTTATCATTAGAAAAAGCTGATCTATATGCATCTTTCTATAAAATGGTTAATAATACTGACTGACAAGTTTGATGATTAGTTGGTGAAATGGAAAGGAATACATAACGTTACAAAATGAACAAGTTGGTTATATTCAGAATAGTTGAAAAATTAGTTATCTGTTGAAAGATATATAATTACTAAAGCTTGAAAACATATTCATGAGACATTCTTTCAAGCATTTATGAACCACACTATTGGAGTTATAACTTTGAAAGAAAACATAATAAAATTTCAACTTTACATTGAATTCTAGATCTCAAACAGGCGAATCTAATGCCTTTTTTTAGTGAAATTTTATACATTTTTCAAAATGCGTTAAACAATTCTCTTCATTTTACTGACTGTTCATCAGAGTTGTCAGTCGGTATTGTTAACCATTAGGTAGTATGGTGCAGATTGATATGTATTTTGTCTAATGTTGAGAACTGTAGGTCATTAGCCACTTCTGTTGACGATTTATTCCAAAAATCATCAATCTTTTTCAATTTTGAAATGGATAAGAACTCATTTAAAATTATTGAAATATTTCCAAGCAAATCAAGAGGCGAAATACCAATCATAGCAACTGGAAAATTGAGCCTAAAGACTAATTCAAAAATAGAAATACGAAATTGACTTGAGAAAAAAATTAGGATCAATAGACTTGGAAATCTTTGAAAAGATGAGAGAATTGTTTAAGTCTTTGTAATAATTTGGAGCTTTCCGTGAACATTTGGCATGTTCTCTCAAATCACTGTGATAATGAGTGATTAAATGTGAACGTCCTTTGCTTATAGCATTCATTCATAGATTCAAATAAATGCAAAGAATATATCAGCAATATTACAATCGAAAAAATACTTCTTATAATAAACGGTATGGATCATCTTATGTCCATTTATCACGGTTTTTCATAAGTATATTCTATCTATATGCCACGATCTGAACTAGAGGAATTATCTGGTATAAAATGTTATCGAAAATTAAAATATTTCTCTGATCGAGATCAATTAATGCGTCAATTAACGGGCGATATGAAAAGAACTAGTCATAATTTGATCGGCTTCGATGCCACCAGTAGCAGTGGCGATTGCACCAAGCCAATGGAGTCTATCAATAAACAAGAAGCAACATTTATCTTTGCCCAGTTGTTGAAAGAAGTTTTTCTTGACATGACGGATATCAATCGATCAGATATGATCGATTATTGTCGAACAAATTATGCAGATAATCCACGTCAACTTGAACTCATAGGTATATTTGAATGTGACTATAGACGGCACACCCCAGTCAGGTGGTATTCATTGAATGCTTTGCTCTATCGAATGTTGAATAAAGCGTTGCGTACTCAAGATATATCAACACTCTATGCATTAAGTACATTTATTCGAGATCTACATAATCAACTTATGGAATTCTGCAACACGCTTAACGTAAGAGAACCATTGATATTATATCGAGGTCAACAAATGTTTACCTCTGATTTCGATAAACTACGTACTAATCAAGGTGGTCTACTTTCAGTTAAGAGTTTTCTATCAACGAGTAAGAATGAAAATATGGCACTTAGATATGTTGGAACTACAAGCATTAGTAATGGCGAAATAGCCACTCTTTTTCAGATTACTATAAATTCGTTAAGACATTTTAACGTTCCGTTGGCTAACATCGAGGAAATTAGTCAATTTACAGAAGAAAATGAATATCTTTTCTTGATGGGCAGTGTTTTTTGCATAAATAAAATTGAAAATTTGTCACATGACGATTTATATACGACATAAACTACGAGGCCGATGTGATCTCACAAGTCTCGGCGGCTTAATGTGGAAGATGGGAATTTCAAGAAAGCGGAAGAATTCTATTTGGATGTTCTAGAACGAGAAACAAATTCATCGAATCTAGCAGCATTGCACAATCAATTAGAAGCTCTCCATGATGAGCTTTTAAAACATTTAAAAGCAGTCGAATACTGTCAACTATGTACGGTCATCGAACAATCATATTTACCTTCTGATGATGCATCCTTTTGCTGCTTCATACACTAACATTGGTTTGGTTTATCAAAATTTGGAAAGAAATGATCTTGCTATCTAACATCTACGAAAAGCTCTTGCAATTTGAGGTAACGCGCCTGAAACAAATCAAGAATTATTGGGAAATATTCACAATAATATTGTCGGTATTCTCGATGAACAAGGTCAGTTTGGTGAAGCACTTGAGCATTATTGAAAAGGACTAGAATATAGGCTCGCTTGTCTCCCTGATATACACCCAGATATTGCCACATTGTTTAGTGATATTGGATTCTTCTATATTGAACATGGGCAGTATGAAGAGTGAGTATCCATGCTTAATAAATGTTTGGAAACTAAAAAGCGTTCGTTACACGATGATCACCCATCGCTTGTTGCCACCTGCAATCACATTACTTTAAGACTTGCCAAATTAGAAAGATATTCAGAAGCTGTTGATAATGGCATGAATGATATAGACATTATATCACGTTTGAGTTTTACTATATTTATTCAAGACAATACTTTTCACTTTGATATGCTTTTTTCTCATGATTATTTTTTACTTCAGCACAATAGATCAATTAGAAGATGTGAGTTTCTTTTCGATAATTAATTTTCCATATAATTCAATCGATAATATTCTTATCTTAGAAACGCTTCTAATTTTTGAGCTAAAGCAATTTCAATGTTCAATAGATGAGTTGAATTTGCTGTTGATGTAAATGATTCACTATGAATAAGAATTTAGGTGCTACGTAGTTTACTTTAAACATAGGAGAGATGTGGTTCATACACAGCACTGCGTGAGAGTGAAGGTACTGTGTTCAAAGTAAACTAGTACTCAAAAAGATACAAGAGTCAGCTTCATGTTCATGACGGTATCCGTATGGGACGATCATCATACCCCTTTTTCTCGTATTTTTTCCCAGCAGAACATATATGTTCTGAATATCGATCACTGCAGTATTTTCATTAGAAAATATGCACAATAACTCAGAACAATTTGATTGAATTAGAATTCAACTCGTCCAAAATAATTTGCTATCCTTCGTCAAAGCGAATAGTCTTATTTCAATTGAATTTGTTTTCAGTATGACTTCTGAGTAAAGGTAAATCTCAACATTTGATCTCATGAGAAAAATTCTTTCACTACTGTACTGAAACAATATAATGTGCAATATTTTAAATCGATTGACGTAAATTGTTCCTGTCGACCTTTTAGTTCTCCTTTTTCTCGACTTTTCCTCTTTCTAATTGTTGCCCCTTGTTGTACTGCGTCAACATTTATATCTCGTAATTTCTTCATCGTTGTGAATTATCAAGAAACCGATTCATTGTCACGAGGCGCACAGTATAAAAACAGCAATTTTTCTATCGTTATTTCATTCAGCTTGCGCTAAACATATAGTTATTTCTTCTCTTCTTTTACTTGTTATTAAACAACAACTATGCACATCTTTATAAAAACTCTTATCGGCAAAACTATTACACTTGAAGTCGAACCGAGCGATACCATTGAAAATGTTAAAGCAAAAAATACAAGATAAAGAAGGTATTTCATCTGATCAACAACGTTTGATCTTTACCGACAAACAACTTGAAGATGGTCGCACATTGAGCGATTATAATATTCAAAAAGAAAGTACTCTCCGCCTTGATCTTCGCATACGTGGCGGTAATGACCAATAACTGATGCTGTTGGGGATATCCAGATTATTAAATTGTTTTGGATCTTTTATTATTCAAATTATATCAGATGTTTGAACTAGTGTATAATTCGTTTTTTTTTAATTTTTAATGTTCACTCAGTTCAACTGTAAATGTACCGAATGCTGATATATGAGTTTTGGCTTTTTTTTTGTATGAATGAAA